TATATTTTTATTTATAATAAACATATTAATAACATATAAAAACATTTTCACTAATGTTTCTAAAATATTTTATTAATATTTTAAGAGGGATGTTATTAAATAACATTTTTAAAATATTTATAAAACATAAATTAAAATATTTTTTAAATGTTATTAATATGTTTATTAGAATATTTTAAAAATATTTATAAAACATTATATCATAATGTTTAGAAAATTTATATAAAATCAACATTTTAGAATGTTGATCAAATGTTTCTTGCTTACTGGGTATATATTACAATAGGCATTTTAATTTGATTACATAGTTATCTATATATATCATATGTCTTCAGGAAGGAAAGACATTTCGATTTTTACATATAATAATAAAAAAGAGAGGTGATATAATAATAAAAAAGGAGTGAAAATATATGAATTCTACAATAATGGTAAGTTTTATAAATGAGTGAATACATATATTGATAATACATATAACATTATTGCTATTATCATTATTATTTATTATAAATGTTTGTCAAAAGAATATGTTAATATTTACCAACTAGAATTGATAAAAAAAAGTCGGTACTTTATATGCCAAAGTGTGTATATATTATGTATATACATGTACATATATATATTATTATCTTTAGAAATGTCACTTAGAATATTTAAATGTTTTAACAATATCAAGATCTCTCTATACGCTTTCTAAACTAAAATATTATACATACATAACCATTTATCTAACTCTGATACATGAAAATAAAAATAACCATAAGAGAGCCCCAATATAACTAACGTAATAATATCACGTAAAAATATAAAGCGTTTTTTAAGTAAAATAATCACATTTTCTTTAAAGAGTTGTATAAAAAATAATCTTATCAAAGACTCTGCCACAAAATAACAACAATCATATTTTCTTTAAAGTATAAAAATAATCTTATCAAAGCACAAATAATCCCATATTGTTCTGTGCAAAATGCTTACGCAAGAAAAGTTGATATATTCATCAACCCATAAGTAATTAAACATTTGATATATTATTTATGAAAACACTACTCTTGTTCCGTCGTATTATAATTTTAAGATTTTTTTTTCCTATTTCCCAAACTGCCGCCACACTGCTTGCGCCATTTTGCATCTTTTAACCACCCAGCCAAAGCTGTATTTGCTTCAGTAAGATCACTATTCGAAAAAATTTGAAGAGTTCCTAGAACAAGACATGTACATATATAAATATCAAACATTTTGCATCTTTTTGCATAAAAATAATAAAAAATCCAACGTATTAATGTAAATAATTACCTTGAAACAAATCATAAAATTTAAGAGATTTGAAAGTAATTTTCCCATTACCTCCTTCACAATTTATTTCACTTGATAGTGTAAAAAGTAATTTTGTTAGTATATTTGTTGCGCTTTTCTTTTAGTGATTTTTCACATTTAACTTCATATAACTAGACATGTAATGATACTGTAAACGAGAAATAATGAAACATTAGTAAGCACATATAGAAGGAAATTTTCTTTAAAATATCAAAGAGAAATTATTTATTGACAGCAGCAGCTAAATTATGAACTGCTTCCAAGAATTTGTTAAATTCTTCTAAATCTTGTTTTGTGTTAAGCGGTAATGCTGGCTTTTTTGCAGGACGCGAAATTCTCTTTTCTGAAGGTATTGTAACTCTCTCTGAGCTTACTCATGTTCATGTTGAGAATATCCAGCTTTTCAGAAACTTCTTCCACTATAACAAGTGTTCTGTCAAGTTTTGTTTTGAATAGGCTTAATGTCTCTTCTGCAATAAACATAGTAGAAAAATTAGAATCACTAAAAGCAAATATTGGTTTTACACTCATATCACAACAAAATTACCTTTGTTCTTATTATGCAACTGCTCTTTAAATGTTGTACGTCCGTACGATGGGAAGTGCTTGAATTAGATAATTTTGATGAATGTTCGTAGTTTGAGTCACTGTTGATGTTCTTAGAATTACGATTAAAATTATCGGTTGTCATAGAATTTTGCGTTGAAGTTGGATGAATAAACAAATTGTCTTCAGATATTGTATCTTACATCGGTGATTGTTGACATTTGAAAAAAGATTTTCTTCTTGAACAGCACTTGTATCAGAACTTGTATTAGCAGGACTATTTGTAAACAATGAATTGAAAGAAGTTGGAGAAGATATTGACACAGATGATGACACAGGTTTTAATGGACTTTTTACAGTTTTGCTTAATGAGGTTAATAATTCTAGTCTTTTCATTTTCGAGGCCGCGATTTCTTTTGCTGTTTGAATTTCTTTTCCTGTCAAGTTCACGTTAGAACGTTTAGAGAATGGTCTCTTTGTTTTAACCCTTTTATTTACATTTGTTTCTTTAAACTTTTCTTCTTGAAGTTTTTTAAGCTCACTTAACTTAATCCTGCACTTAACTAACGTGGTCCTGCACCAAAATGAGCAGGAGCTCCATCATGCTGAAACCATATTTCTTGGAAATTATTTGGAAAAGTATTCTGTATGGCTGGAATTATTTGATCAACAAGTAATCTCTCATACCTTTGAGCGTTCAAATATTCTTCAAAAAAAAACGGCCCTATTAAATAGCCATCTATTATTCCGCACCATACATTTATTTTTTGTGGATGTTGTGTGTGAGTTTCCCGCACCCAATTCGGATTCTCATCTGACCAGAAACGAAAATTTTGATTATTAACTTCTCCCGTTAAGGTAAAAGTTGCCTCGTCTGTGAAAACAATTTGATAAGGGAAGATGGGCCGGACATCTATTAGTGCCATCATTCTTTCACAGAAATGTATACGACGCTCCTCATCTCCGTTTTGCAATTCTTGAACGTATTGCAATTTATATGGATGGAACTTGTTCTTCTTTAAAATTCTCCAAACCGACATGGGAGCAATATCGTGAGTTTGAGCGACTCTCTGAACACTAGAATTGGGATCTTCAATAAATGTCTGCAGAACATCAAGTTGTTTTTCTTCGTTGGTTGCAGACAATGGTCTTCCTGACTTAGAGCGATTTCTTACGCTACCAGTTTGTCTAAAACGTTCTATTGTTTTTAACACAGTGGACTTATTAATTCGACGGTTCGGATACGTGTCATTAAATAATCGAACGACATCAGAGAACGATCTTTCGTTATCACCCCATCCACGCATCATGAGGATAGTGATTCTTTCACGTTCCGACAAGTCGCCAGGCATTTTTAAAACGTTTAATTTTAATTAATCGTACGTTGTATTTGGACGATAACAATTAATTTCTGCTTGCTCAAAGCTGAAGTTAGAAGGTGCTCGTTCTTTGATAGCTTTATACATTCTTAGTTGAATTTTAAATGCGAGTTAGACTGCATGTAGTGCGTCACATAGCGGTAAATGAAGGAACTAACGAGACGTTTCATACACGTTTTATGGAGCAATTTTTTGGCAATTTGACTTCAGCGAAATATGAGGATATGTTGAGGAATCGATCTTGCCTTAGTTAGCTGGATCACACACACAACAGATGCAAATCCGAGCGAGTAACCTCCATGTAGTACACCTTGGATAATGTTAATACCGGCGCTACTCTATCATTCAACCCTCATAACTCGCAAAGTACTTAATAAAAATGAACATTATTATAGTGTTTTGGAAAGCTCTTGAATTAAGCTATAAGAATATGCAATCAAATGTAGGGGGTGTCATTTAAAAAAGTCAATGTGACCTTGACCTGACCTTGACGACGCCATCCAAGGTCAAACTGATAGAATCAGTATATAGATCTTCTTAAACCCTACAACTTTTGTTGGAAACACTTTTCTGTAAAACGTATATTTTCCGAGATATTTAGGGGTTTCCACACTTTTGGTAGACCCTGTATATAAAAGAGTGTGTGTTCACAAAAAATAAAATAAAATTTTACTGTAAAATCTCTTCACTTTCACATCGTGTTTTGGCGTTAAAATTAGTTTTAAAATATTTTTCGGTTTTTACTAGTTGTGTTACAGAGTTTGAATTAGGGGGCTAATATGTTTTTCCGCACATTTCATCATCAAGATCTGTGCAAATCCACTTTCTTAAACCAACATCAAAATATGTATCTGGACCCTTATTTATTGGCAGAAATTTTAATACAACAAACTATGAAACAGAAAATAAGAAGTATAAATATATTACGTTCTATAAATGTTTAGATTATTTATGTTTCTAAAATGTTTAGATTATAAATTCATTTAATGTGCTGCATGGGCTTTTTTCATTAAGGGAATAGTGTGAAGTAATGATACACACAACCAAGTTTCTTGATTTGGAATCAAGTAGTACTTGCATTCTATATCATTGAGAGGATATGCTATTCTCCTCTCCTCAAGCTGAGAAACACAGATAATACCTAGTTCAGAAGAGGAAAGTGGATATGTATAAAAGTCTTCCTGTTTTTGAAACTTACAACCAACAAAAAATAGAATTCGATGTCTATAAACAAGATTTTTTTAGCAAAACAACATTACCGTTTGATGTTTTAAAACAAGAGTCCTTTGTATCTATTCTGAAGCATATATTCCCACACAGCAATATGACTTCTAAAAGAATTCTTAAAGAGTTCTCACGTAAGATTTAGACATCCGAATGTATCTTCTGAAAGAAGACTTAATGACTTCAGAAAGTAATCTAATGCGCCACTTTAAGAAATAAGTAAGACTTCTTCAAAAAGATGTCTTAAAGACTTCTTTTTTTTGATTTCTTTAAGACGACAATAAGAACGCTTTTTTGAGAATTGATGTTTCGGAAATGATATTATTATTTCAATATATATGTATTAAAAAAAGTTTTATTTCAGTTATTTGATTTTTGTTGATTTATAAATTTATAAAGAAAATATAAATTATGCCTTATAAATAATACAAGTAAAGCATAATCACATATATGTTTATAAAAATACATAATATAATTTATATTATTCTATATATATATATATATATATATATATATATATATAATATAAATTATGCATTGTGTTTTTTTTCATGGTATCGAACGCGATCACCGGCATGCTGAAGCCAGCTTTGTATTATTGTCTGGACCTCATGAATGGTGCAAGCCTCCGAAGCGATCATGGCTTCTGAAATAATAATTAAGCTGTGTAAACACCTTTAAATATTGATTTTAATGAAAAAAGATAGAGTGACCAAGCTAGTAAATAAACGATTTAACCAATCAGTTAACAATAAAAGTTTTTATTTTTTAATAATGGAGAAATTTAAAAAATTGCAATTAATATTTAAAGATTGACGACTTAAGTAGTTATTAACCATTTTCATCATGTGGTTATGAGGAAAAATTTTGATTACATGCTTAAGGAGGTACCGTTAATGCATACCAGTCAAGTAAAAGAAACTTTCGCACCACTTCCTTTTGTACTTCCTTAAATTTAAATGATGTTCATTCACTGTTCCGTTCATTTACACAGCCTTGGTTACGCTAATATGAATTACAAATTATCGGTCCGATTCGAAATTTAGTTACCTACAAAAACATCAACAAATTTCATGTCTTTGACTCCGATCGTTTTTTTTTGACCTGTCCACGATAGTTTGCATGCCAAATCGTCGTTTAATATGGTGATTAGTATTTGACGGATATGTTTCTTAACATCTCTGCCACCTCTGATCTGAATCATCTTTTTCTGAAAAAATATAGTTTAAGTAACATACTGGAAGAAGTAGAATAATAAGTAAAATAATAAGTAAATAATAATTAAAATAAATTAAATCAAAATTTTTGGTTAAATTTCTAGAAAAAAATTCTTGATATGTCAAATGAATGTAAATAAAAGCTGCGTGCGCGCGCGTGTGTATGTGTGTGTGTGTGTACTACAGAAATAGTAAATAAATAGCTAGATATATATTACAACCAGAAATTTTAATAATTTATGATAGTTGAAACTGAAGCAAATTTTTCAAGTAGTAAATAGAATTTAAAAATTATTAACATATTGATTACGTGCTCCTGCATCATCATCTAATAATTTATTAAATGCCTTTAATAGAGCTCCTGCTGCTGTATGAGTTACATTATAATGGCAAATCCATCGTGCCATCTGTTCTTTCAAGTCAATTGTTTTCTTACTTTGTGGAATATCATACAATTCATCATTATCTGTTGAAGTATTATTTTCTGTTGAAGTTTCTTCATTAACATCTGATTCCACTGAGCTGACTACATCATTATTACAATCATCACTTTCACTTGTGATAACTGCTTGTAAATTATTTAATAATTTTACATTATCCGCATATTCTCCATCAGTTTTTGATTTTATCACTTCCTTCACAGTTATTTTTTCAGTCTCACAACTTGAACTACCAGGCATCTCCAATAAAGAGTCATATTCTTTTTTTATTCTTCTATTTTTTTGACTCTTAGATAAGTTCTTGAATGATTTCCTTTTGGACATTTTTTGTACAAAAACACACTTTACCTGTAAAATTCAATGAATGTTTTAAAGATTATAAATAAAGAACAGCTTTTATTTATATTAACATAATTTGTGATATATATATATATATATGTAATAATTATTAACCAAGTATATAATATACTTATATATATATTATAATATTTCACTTATTTAGCCTTCAAATACTGCACTTGGTTACGTTAACCCTATAACATAACCCAATGAAGGGTTTTCCGATTAAAGATAACTTATTCTCTTATTTAAAAATTAATAATATGTAATAAATCTTCTCAAGTTTTTATATCAATAAATATTAGTTATTAATTATTTATCAATTATTAATTAAATAAACTATAGTATAATAGGTATCAAAACTTACTTGTAATTAAATTTTAATTATAGGTTAGATTGCACTAAAGCGTTTTACTATTATATGACGCGCATGCGTAGGAGCAGTAAATTCAGTGAAAGTCATGAGTCAATCTAAAACTTGTCATAAATGAGATAACAAATTGTAGTCTGAATTAAGAAGTCTTTCTGATGACAGAAAAAAGATTTCTTCAAATTGACGTCTATAAGAGATCTTATTCGCAGTTCTAAAAGACGTCTTAAGAAAGAGTTCTTAAAGATATCTTTCAGCGTTATGTGCTGTCTGGGTTACCAATGACAACTTTACGATATTGTAGCCACGAATAATTTCATTTGCAATAAAGTGTTTTAAAGAGAGTACAAACTTTAGGCTTAGAATCCAGAATAATTTTAATTTTTTCCTTTCCTAGATTACGTCTAGCTATCTGCTGCAACGGTTTATAGCATGACATCAGGGAATCTTTAATTTACTTTAGACGATTTTCATAACGAAAGGCACTAAAATTATCCATAGTACCATCTCTTGACATTTCTTACTTAAGTGACTGAGTGAGTGCACATTATACACTACAAAACTCTTTCCATAAATAACTACTGAATGAGAGATAAAAGTTCTGATTAATTGCTCAGCAAAGTGAAGATGAGTGCGAATAAGAGTAGAACTAGACAAAATGTACGCAGCGCTGTGTAGAAGAAGAAAATGTTTAGATATTATGATGAATTAAATTCTTGAAAGCAACGATGCCGTCATATAAAAGTATGCGACGAAATTCAGTGGCCTTGAATAGTTTAAAATCGTTTAGAGATCTCAGCTTTCGATTAAAATCTTGGGGACAGAATTTCCTAAGAAACACAAAAACTTTAGATATAAGATTAATAATATCTCCATACAGTTTCCGTGCTCCAATCACAAACAACCAAAAATGAACCCGCAAAACACTGTTATATAAATGTTACATTAATGTTATAAAACCGATTGTTACAATTAATGTTGCATGAGTGTTACTGATATGTTACTGATATGTTACTAATATGTTACTGATATGTTACCGTAACATAATTATTTCCCACTCATAAATGTAACATGTTATATAACATTTATTATGTAATGATTACATATCAAAGTTATATTTTTGTTATATTATTATAATATGTTATATGTATATAATATTTATAAATTTATTTATTATTAAATATATGAAGGGTTTTTTCAGTAAATATTTCAGTAAATATTTATTCTATGCATATTTAGATGTACATGTTTTATTTAATTTTTTTTGTACATTTTTTTACATTTTTGTATATTTTTTTGTAGGGATACGTTTTCATAAAAAGTGAGACATGTTATTAGAAACATAATTATAATCTTAATTGAACATATTATAAAGGTATGTAAACATATTTTAAATGTATATTATATAATCATAAGGTCTGTTCTTTATAGCTGAACTAGCTGCATTGGGCTGCACTACTTCAGAGGTTATCCTTTTTTTCTTCATTGGGAGGAAAAAGATAAACTCTGAACTGCAGTCCAGTGCAGCCAGTTCAACTATAAAGAACAGACCTATAATTAAACATATTATATATTTATATTTAGAAATAACAAATAATATTTATAATTAATACGTAATCTATTATGTATTATATATGTTAGGCTCAAAGACCGAAAACGCTCACTGAACGAAAAAACGGATCACAACGCGTTCTGACCTCTCAGATTCAGCCACAACGCGAAATTTGCGTCGAGGCACTTTCCAAAACGCTCATAACGCGTTTAGGCATATTCAAAAAAGCCACAAAGCGAAATTCGTGTTCGAGGTTCTTTTGATAATCGACCAAAACGTGTTTTGGCAATGTAAAAATGCCACAATGTGTTGTGGACGCTTATTGATGCAGTCATGACGCGATGTAAGACAAATACAATCTATCAACAGCCGATTCATGCACATTCTTGTTCGTTATTTTATTTAGCGTATTGCTAGAGTGTGGACGTTGTTGGTTTGCGTGCTAATTATGTGGTACGAAATATTACTTCAAGAAGTAAAAGAAGCTCAGTTACTTCGAAAAAATAAGCAATCGGTATCATCAAAGCAGTATCGTCGTATAAAGCGATACGACATCTTAAAACTTGGTGATACTAAAAAACTGATTGAAAGTGATTCTGAAGGTATGGACGATTCTAAAATTCGCTATTTCTGTAAGGCAGATGAGCTATTTGATGTATTGGAGGCAGCACATCTCAACGTGGGACATAAAAGGACAAAAGGTAGTTAAACCTTTGAAATTTGACGTTTATTGATACAGCAATAATGCTATAAAAATAAAATTATAAAGAAAAAAATTATAAAGAAAATTAACAGTTAGCCTTATTAATCCTATAGCTCATACAATAAAATTTAAAACAATTAAGTTTCTGTGATAGAAGTTTTCATTGATTAGTATTTTTTATTAATAATAATATAAAATACTGTTTAGAGTTGCTCTCTTTGTGAGAGTTCTTTTATTAAAAACAAATTTGCCATCAATTGATCAATCATTTACAAAATCATTTACAAATAAATTTTTTTATTTGACTAAAATCTACAATACTTTTTTTCATACGTAAGTATCAAGGATTCATAAAATAAAATAATTGACGTTATTTTGTTACAACAATCGACATTAATTCAATTAAAATGAAACAAATTGTCTTCTTGACTGAGAATTATAAAAGAAAATACAGTTATCTTTATTAATATTATGGCTCTTTTAATCAAAGAAGATTTTGTAATAGAAATCTTCATTAATTAGTATTTTTCTAATAATAAACATTGTTCATAATATATATTGGTCCCTTTGTGAGAATTATTAATAAATTATTTATTTTTGCAAGAATTATTATTGTGACATTTAGAATTGCATTTTATATTTTTAGAGAGACATTTGCATTTTTTGTCAATGCAGTATCTTTTACAGTGGCAGCTTATAAAACCTTGCTTACTTCCAGATGACAACATAAAAGCTGAACGAAGAGTTAGTGAAGTCAAGGATACGTCTTGCAATTCAATAAAGTTGCTCTCAGCAACTATAAATTCATTGCGATCATAAAATCGCTCAAGGAGCCCTTCTTTGGTACCTAATTGATAAAACCCTGATGAATTAATTCCGGCAACAACAGTTAAGACATTTCTGGGAGCTGCGCGTCCTCTATCAACGTCAGGCACTCTGACAGCTACACTAGTTCCAATAGTAACTTTAGGAAATTTTGAATTAGAAAATGAAATCATTTTTTGTGCTTGTTGTTTTTGACTAGATTTAGCACATTCTCTCTCAACGCTGATACTGTTCTTCCTTATACAGAGCTTGCAAGTAACGTTCTGTCCGAAACCCTCATTATTCTCATCACTTTCTCCGCAAATAACGTGAATATATTGATGACATCCTGAACACTTGTGAGCTCCTGAAGTTTCGTTTTCACAAATCACACAATAAATTTTGCTGTCATCTTTTTTTTTTATTCTTGTGTAACCTCTCCAGCTTGAGGTATATTTTTATCTTCACTAGATTGTTCGTTAACTTCTTCTTCATCAGTCTTATCTTGATTATTGTTCTTTCACCGAAGAAAGAAGTTGTTCCAATTCTTCTTCAGTTTCTATAGAAGAATACATGTCACTGGAAAGAGAGGAATCCGCAAGGCCGATCTTTTGCGCTGATCCAAACATAGCCTCATAAGGACTTGTCTTAATTACCGAATGGAGAGCTCGATTCTTCTTACTTTGAATAAATCGGGGTCCTTCAGACCATTTTTCCGTATTATTGTCAGCCATCCACGCTACCAGCATGTCACGAATATCTTGATTCGACCTTTCAACCGAACCCTGACTCTGAGAATGTCGCGGTTTACCATTAACAAGCTTCATTCCAGGCCACATATCGGCCAAACTTTTAATTATTTTATTTACGAATTCACGACCATTGTCGCTTTAAAGTATACATGAGGCACCGAATAAACAAAATATGTCTATGAGTTGATAGGCCACTTCCTCGGCAGTCTTTGTCTTAAGACGAAGAATTGTGAATTTGGTTAAATGATCTTGATAATTCATAATGAATCGGTAATCTTTATCTGGCTCTGACTGCATGTCAATCAAGTCCACTTGACATCGAGAGTTCATGTAGTCAGATAAAATAGGTTGTACAACTAATCCATGTTTTGGTATCTTTTTCTTCAATTGACACTGTTCACACAAAGACAGAAAAAGATTTATTATTTGACGAGTAACATTACAATATTTCTTTTTTAGTTCAGCTTCCATAACTGAAACATAAATAAAATATAGAAAAATATTAGACAAATACAAATTATTAATTATTTATTGACTATGAAACTAAAAACTTTATTAACTACTATCATATCTAACATGTCTAACTATACTTCGCGATATCAATTTTGTGCCGGAAACATCTTGGAATTCGTAATATAACGTAAGTATGTATCAAATCTAGTTAAATTTCAAAAATGTATCTACCTCTTGTTCTTTTATGTCCCACGTTGAGATGTGCTAGCTCCAATACATCAAATAGCTCATCCGCCTTACAGAAATAGCGAATTTTAGAATCGTCTATGCCTTCAGAACCACTTTCAATCAGTTTTTCAGTATCACCAAGTTTTAAGATGTCGTATCGCTTTATACGACGATATTGCTTTGACGATAGCGATTGCTTATTTTTTCGAAGTAACTGAGCTTCTTTTACTTCTTGAAGTAATATTTCGTACCGCTCGATATCGATAAAAACACTCCGATCAGTAGTTGTTTTCTTCAACTCACTCAATTTATCATAAAAAATCTTCTTTTTATCAGACATGATTAGCACGCAAACCAACGACGTCCACACTCTAGCAATACTAAATAAAATGACGAACAAGAATGTACATGAATCCGTCGGCCGTTAATAGATTGCATTTGTCTTATATCGTCATGGCTGCATCAATAGGCGTCCACAACGCGTTGTGGCATTTTTACATTGCCAGAACGCGTTTTGGTCGATTATCAAAAGAACCTCAACACGAATTTCGCTTTGTGGCCTTTTTGAATATGCCAAAATGCGTTATGAGTGTTTTTAAAAGTGCCACGACACAAATTTCGCGTTGGCTGAATGGCTGAATCTGAGATGTCTGAACGCGTTGTGACCGGTTTTTTCGTCCAATGAGCGTTTTCGGTCTTTGAGCCTAACATATATATATATTAAACAGATATATTTTTAAATATTAAACTAATGTATTAAATCAGTATTCTAATCATATAATTTTAAAAAATTTGTAAAAATAAAACAGAATTTGTATATAATCTTTATAATAAAAAATTCTTATATATTTTCAAAAGATCATTATCTTTATTTATTTTTGCATATAATACTACTTACCTCTTGTCTACTCATTTGTTTCTCTTTGCCTTGTTTCTCTTATGAATCTCTGCTTAGCAAAACGCTATCAGTCACTTGCGGCTTCATCAAATTCTTTTTGAGTGTAATTTGTGTATATACCTAACACTACTTCTCTCATGTGTTTTATGATACATAAAGAGGCAACTCCAAAATTTTCTTTACGATCCTTCCACGAACATTGCAAAGCACATTCATTTGTA